ATTCGATCTTTGTACAAAATTTTAGAGATAGATTTCGCCCAAACTCATACATCTTGTAGAAGAAAGACCATAGTACATGCCGCTATGCTTCGTTAAGCTGGGAGAACTCATTTTTTCTTATAAAGTTCATTTGAAAATTAAAATTTTTAACATGGAAAGTCAATGGGAGCGTCTTTGTTGCCTAATAACTTTTTACGTTGCAGATATACCAAAGTGAAAAGTTAATAAAATATACAACTTTCGATGCTCTTTCCAACAATGTATGGAACGTCACTGCACGATGTGCCGTTTTTAAGAAAAGCTGTAAAAAATCAGGGCTCGACTGTGACTTGAACCCAACCACATTAGAGGATACGAACAGGTGACGGGGATACCTCCCGTGTGCGGATGTGACACTGATTATTGCTAAATATTAGCAGTAGGCCGCCTGTGGGGTGCCTTTACAAACCTTATATCTCTGCAACCACTGGACCGATTCACTCGCGGTCTTTTGTGTGGGATAGCTTCTTCCTTTCTTACACGTAGTGTGCTGTTCTCGATGCGTATGGGTGACCCCTAATGCACGTGCCACGTGCAAAACGAAGAGGTGTCAGTTCGGTAACAAGTCTAATAACTCTGTAGTTAGTTTGCCGATTGCGCTGATACTTGGCATGGTTGTAGGCACCCGACGCGCAATGCATTTCCATGTGTCACGGTTGGGGTGCCGCTGCACGTGCACACGTGCAGGGTGACGCTTCCAGATCTCGAGAACGGCTGGGCCGATTGTGATCAAAGTTGGCACACCGTTAGGGATCGGCGAGTAGGGTGCCGTGCACAAATCAGATGGGACTCATTTTGCACGTGCGCACGTGCAGGACGACGCTTCCAGATCTCGAGAACGGCCGGGCCGACTGTGCTCAAATTTGGCATGCCACTAGAGACTGGTTAGTAGGGTGCCGTGCACAAGTCAGTTAGTGTGTATTTCCATTTGCCAAGGTTGGGGTGCAGCTGCACGTGCGCACGTGTAGGGGTCGTTTCCAGATCTTGGAAACGGCTGGGCCGATTCAGATTAAATTCGGTACACCGCTAGAAACCGGCGAATAGAGTGCCGTGCAAAAGTCAATTGGGGCCCAGACTGCACGTGCGCACGTGCAGGGTGTCGCTTCCAGATCTCGTAAACGGCCGGGTCGATTGCACTCAAATTTGGTATCCGTGACCCCTGTTTATGCTCCTGAGGTGATCTTAGGTCACGAATTGTACCTAACAGTTTTTTCGCAAATAACTTTTGATAGAGGCATGCTAGAGCGATGAAAACGCCTTAGATGTGTTCAGCTCGACGACACGGATCGACTGATATGCAACATGACCCTTTCCGGTCAGGTCATGACCTTGACCTGAGGTCAAATTTTTAAGTTGACCTTTCAAGGTCAAGTTATAGTTCATTCGATGCGTGTTGACGAGAGGAAAACGATGCCGGTAAAAGTAAGCTCGTGCAAGGCTTGGGTCAAAAGTTATTGCAGAAAAACTGTCCGAAAAAAATCGGCTATTTTTGCAGTTTTTGCCCCGTGCAGGCAAAACCGTTGACGTTTGAGGTCAAATCTGAGAAAATTACTCAGAAAGGGCGTTGATATGGGGGCTATCGAATGCGTCTTTCCGCGGCGCTGTAGCTCTATTGGTTCCCGAGTTATGCGTTGGCTTCTTGGAAATTGTCGACATTCGACCTGGGAATCGGCGAAATTTTGCCTTCGATGACCTCTGGTGACCTGACCTTTGACCTGACCAAAAAGTTGACGGAAGTGATTTCGTCATTATTTTTGACGCTCTTTCGAACGCCGACTTCCGAGTATTGCTACGTGACCCAGGAGCCGAGTTAGAAGGGGGGAGGGTGTTCAACCCCCGGCCCCCAGCAGGGCGTGGAAATCCAGGACCCCCAGCCGGGCGCGGGTTAAAACTGTTGCCAGTTGCCACTGTTGTTGCTTGTATTGTATCTGATTCTGCATGCTATTCTGAACAATCCAAGTGCCTATCTTTCAGTGTTCAAATCAGAAGTTGCGGCAGTGCTGCTTTGGGCATTTTAAACAGCAAAATTCAGTGCGTAATCTGGAAACGTCATTGCTTGCCATCTAACTAGTTATCTGAATAGGCTAGTGTAACGTAGCTCATAGACAGACATGCAGTTCAGCTTCAACCTTACCTTAACCAGCGCCGGGCCGGGGGGGGGGGGGTGTTTGTTTGAACACCCCTCCCCTGCGGTTTTTCGCAGATATCTCTGCACACCTGTTCGTGCAGCTTTTCCGCACATGTTGTGAAAATTTCAGACTCAGGTCCTCCTTAGGTCAGGTCATCAGGTCACGCCAAGTGACCTCACCTCAGAAAGAATAAGAATGCTCGTCATAGCTACGCTGATTGATCGATTGCCTTGAAACTTTCAGCGATTGATTAGAGCAGCATTATCTATACAATGTTTATCTCGGAATTTTGATATCGGTGACATAAGGTCAGGTCAATATTGCGGCCTCTCCATTATACAATGGAGTCAATGGGAGAAAATTGAAAAGCGTCTGTTTTGCACGAACGCTATTCTAGACACTCTCAAACATCGAGATGTAGGTAAACTTGACACACTGAACCGGAAAATGGCAACTGTGACCCCTCGTTATGTCCCCGAAGTCATCTCAGGTCACGAACAGAATCTAACAGTTTTTCTCTAATAACTTCTGATAGAGGCGTGCTAGAGCGCTGAAAACGCCTTAGATGTGTTCGGCTCGACGTTGCGGATCGACTGATCTGCAACATGACCTTTTCCGGTCAGGTCATGACCTTGACTTGAGGTCAAATTTTAAAGTTGACCTTTCAAGGTCAAATTATAGTTGATTTGACGCGTCTCGACGAGAGGAACACGATGCTGGCAAAAGTAATGTCATGGCTCTTTTGAGTCAAAAGTTGTTGCCGAAAAAAAAAAACGTTTTTCGTAAAAACGGCTATTTTTTGAGTTTTTGCCCTCTGGAGGCTAAACCGTTGACCTGAGGTCAAATCTGAGAGCATTACTCAGAAAGGTCTGTAAAAGGGCTATCGAATGCGCTTTTCCGCGGCGCTGTAGCTCTATCGGTTCCCGAGATAGCCGTTGGCAGTTTCCAAAATGTTGAAATAGTCAACATTTTACTTTTGGTGAGCTCTGGTGACCTGACCTTTGACCTGACCCAAAAAATGACCGAAGTGTTTTCGTCCTTATTTTGGACGTTCTTTCGATTGCCGCTTACCGCGTGTCGCTACGTGGCCCAGGAGCCGAGTTAGAAGGGTGTGTGTGTTCAGACACCCCCCGGCCCCGGCGCGGAATCTCAGAGCACCGGCCCGGCGCGGGTTAAGGTTTCCTGAGTGTGCAATATGCATTCAAAAATAGAGTTTGGACGAAGAAGGTGATGGTTCTTTGCAGGGGCGGCGGATTCGGGGGGGGGGGCAGAGGGGGCAGCTGCCCCCTGGCAAACTCGTGGGGGCAAAAGTATCTTGTTGCCCCCCCCATAATTTGTGACATGAAACTTTGACAAGAAGCCATATATTAACCTTCGCCCCAGTGGGGGGGGGGGGGCATATGTTACCAGCCTGTCGCGTTTTTTGCGTGTGAATAAAAAACCGCGGCGCGTAGCGCCGCGCCGCTTGGCAGCTTTTGATACATCAGTTTTGGACAATGTGTGAAATTTTTGACCCCAGGTCATGTCAGGTCAGGTCACCAGGTCAAGTTAACAGACCAAGCCTAAAAAGTTTGCAATCATGTCCAGCCTGCAGTGTTTGTCAGAGAGGTTTTAAACTTGGTGGATTGCATGATGTTATGAGTGCCTACAATTAGTACATCTCGGATTTTTTATATCCGTGACCTAAGCTCAGGTCAGTGGCGTGACCTATCCATTACAAGTCAATGGAGAAAACTGAAAATGCCTCTAGATCCGTGTGTACGCATAGGAACAGTCCAAATATTTCAAAATCACAGTGATTTGGACCACCAGTGACGACCAAGGTGTCTTTTTTGCTGAGAGCCTCTAGAAAGGTCATCCGAGGGCATTTGAGGCTACAGTTTTTTTTTGCCAATAACTCTCGATTGGAAAACGACAGAACGCTGGAGTTGGCCTCATGGTGTTTGTCTTGCCGAGACGCATCGACTGATATGCAACATGACCTTTTCCGGTCAGGTCATGACCTTGACCTGATGTCAAATTTTGAAGTTGATCTTTCAATGTCAAATTATGGTTCATTCGACGCGTCTTGGCGAGAGGAACACGATTCTGGCAATAGAAATGTCCTAGCCTTTTTAAGTCAAAAGTTATTGTTGAAAAACACTTCGTAAAACAGCTATTTTTGGAGTTTTTGCTCTCTGGAGGCTAAACCGTTGACCTGAGGTCATTTTTGATGATGACCTTATCAAAAGAAGAGTTCAAAAGCTATCGATTGCTTTTCCATGCGTTTTTCTAGCTATCACAGTGTCTGAGATAATGGCATGTTTTCTGAAAAATATGACAATTCGCAAATTTTGACCTTTGATGACCTCATGTGACCCCAATATTGCTCTAAGATGAAAAATGACCGAAATACTTTTAAACGTACGCATTGAGAGCTATCGACTGCTTTTTACCGCGTCTTTCTATCCCTCTTAGTTTTTGAGTTAGAGGTGGGTGGTAACATATGCCCCCCCCCCCCACTAGGGCGAAGTTGGCTGAGACTAGGAGCGAAGTTGGCTGAGACCGCCACTGGGGCGCGGGTTAATTTCGTTCGATCATCTGAAGATGTTATCAGATGCACATATACTTAATCATACGTTGCCTTTCTTAAATGACAAGCGTTTGCGTTCAATAGAAGTTCCCTCTCCTCAAACTCGTTTTACAGGCAATATATAGTAAGTGACAACGTGACGCAGCGGCAGCCCAGGCCTTAAATGGCCGCTTTTAGGGGCGACGGATACGGGGCGGCAGAGGAAGCATCGTCGTTTCACCTCGATAATTTTTGCTCTTAATAAAGATTTGTCTCCCCAGAACGTTAAGATGCCATAAAGGCGACAACTTAATTGCAGCAAGGCTGGAATATCGAAAGAAGAGAATCAGAGAAGCATGCAACAGTTACGGATACTCTCATTACCGGTAAGATACACCCACTACCGATTATGTACATGTTGAACATGTTTGTTCAGAAATTCTTTCACTACCCGTATTTCTATTGGAAATATGCTTTCATTATGCGTAATTAGCCAGTGACGGTCGTGTTTTCCTTATCGCAGGTATCGTTGGCGTGGTGATGTATTCGTCGATAACATTGTCTGGACCAGACTACCGAAAGTCGCGACAACTTTCATGGCAGCTCTTATTCTTCGAAGAATGATGAACAACTCAACGTTGAATGTAAGATAATCTGGATGTGGGCTTGTAAACCATTTGTACTCTGTTTTCTGTGAATGCCGCGGCCGATCAGTAAAAATAGACGAGAGGGATAGGCCAAGGCCCTATATACCATAGGCATGAAACAAAACTCGATCAAAACTCATCGAGGCGGGGAGGGGCTAACCCGTGCCGGGCCGCGTATTCGCCAACTGTATTACACGAATCGGCCGACCAACTAGCGCCATCTCTTGTGTGACGTCACTACCATCCAGGACAATAATGTATCCATTGAGGCTAGGTTTGACTTCAAGCTTAAATTGCAAACAGCACTTATGAGCAGCATGTCGTCGTAGCCGAGTGGTTAGAGTCTCGGCCCAGTGTCTAAGAGGACGGTGTTTCGACACTCACCATGGGCGGTCGCATTTTCTGTACAAAAGAAAAAAGTCGAGCATAGACAATCATTTAACGCGTTCTATCTACATACCAAAGTTGAGATTGATACCTCTTTTTTGGCAAAGTTTTAGCGAAAAAAAAAACTTCTGATAACCTATCGCTGATTTTCGACAAAAATTGTTTTACTCGATGTTATAGCCAGACTTGTGCCTCGACCAGAAATCAAGATCCAAGATCCGCAAGATCCCACACAATTTCCGAATTTCAGGATCCAAGATCCCCAAGATCCCACACAAAATCAAATTGCAAGATCCAAGATCCCCAGGATCCCATGCAAAATCAAAATTTCAAGGTCCAAGATCCACAAGATCCCACACAAGATCAGACTACCAGGATCCAAGATCCCAAGATCCCACGCAATATCAAAATTGTAGGATCCAAGATCCCCAAGATCCAACGCACAATCATAATTTTAGGATGATTTATCTGTTATTTGCAACTGCAGACTGCAACTGACTCAGTTCTAGCTATGGAGAAGCACTAAATGGACATGTGCATGCTAGTGATGTAAATTTCATATTTTGTATGTAGGTACATGTTTGTGATGAAAATTTACGAAATTTTCAAAACCAATGCCAAACTGATACCGACCAAACTTATATCTAGCATTGATATATATACCTAACAAGCTCTGCTAGCGCCACCATACGACGCCAGCTGGCAAATAATCCAGTTAATAGTAAGGCCCAAAGATAAATTTTGGTCACAGTTATTCAAAAGCTAAGACTTTCCGCTACACTTTTAGATGCTGATGGCCGAAAACTGCAGAAGAGCCGCAGTGTGGAAATGGCGTGCGACGCGGACGGTGCGTTCACTTTTTAGGTCAAGGCAGCAACGCTTCACTTTGAGGTCAAGGCGTGACTCACTGAATAGACCTTTGCTAACATGGATCTAAAAACCAAAATTCAACAATTTAACAAATAAGTATGGAGTGAGAGGAAGGACGCCTAATCCAAATGAGGCGCTGGTGAATTACGTATGACGAAGCCCCGTTTCCGTCACCCAGGAGATTGTCGCGTTAATCTGCTTGCTTCCGTTGCAGTGCCACGCCAGCAGCTGTTTTACGTTACTGGAAGCTGCGACCTCCAGTGACAGTCGCATTCACGACGAGCTGATCGGTGTCCGGCCGGACGGCCCTGGCGGCTCGCTGCTCATTGTCAGAAGGCCCTACGACCGGCTCGTCTCGGCGTTCCTCGACAAAATAGCCAGGTATGGACCCAACCTGTCGCCAGAGTTGAACAAATGCTTCGGAGGAGCGCATAGACATGAATTACTTTACTTCAAGTTCAAGTCACCAGGGGTAAAAATGTCGCTTTTTAGACAAATCTTGTTTTAATGTTTTAAATGTTTTAATGTAATTAACCTGTTACGTCATCGATGACAGCGGTTTCATCGTACTTCACCAAGGCCCTAAATACAGTACTTCACTATCAGACAAACTTACCCATGTGTTAAAGGTAGAATATGATCTTTTCCCACAGAATTGGAGTCCATTATGTATTTGACTAGCACTAGCCGCTAATGTATAGCCTTTAAGTCTCGAAAGTGTGGAGCGCTTAGAGCAACGGCTGTACCAGCACTAATGATATGAAATACCAGCCTCAAGACACTGCTGATAAAATGGCTCCATCTGCTCCTCCAGCAATAGAGAAGACTATGACTAAACTTAAGAAAAACATTACTTCTGCTTATAAAACTCACAAAACAGGTGAATCAAACCATTCAAAAGCAAAGATGTGCTTGATGAGGCACGTAAGGAGGGGAACGTAATTTTCAAACGTTCAGACAAATGTAAAGGCATGGTGGCGACTGGCGATGTCCAAATACATAAAGCTAAGGCTGTAATAACAAGAGTACGAGCACATCCCCCCAAAATACAACTCCGAAACTAGAAGCACAAACCAAACGAGCCATATATCAGGAAATGGACAGCAGCGACTCAGAAAAACTCATCAAAACTATTACCTATCCCAAACGGTTCACGAACGGCAGATTTTTTACTGATTACCTAAAACACACAAGAAAAACACTCCGCTCCGACCCATAGTTTCTGCATGTGGCGACCCATTAGACAAACTGACTAGGCTTTTGGAAAGAATTGTGACGCAACTTCTCCCATTCATAACAGCGCATCTAAAAACAAAACAACATCTCGGCTCTCAAAAAAGCCTCCCCACCTCTCTTCCGCCAGGTTCCATTGGTTTCACCATTCACTTATATAAAAATCAAAACGTCTGTACGTATGTATGTATGTACCGCGAGGCGAGGTGACGGTGCGGGCTGCAGGAGTGAAATTTTGACGCCGAGTCGGACGCGTGCAACCATTTGTCGTATTAAATTTTGGTGGGGGAGGGTTCGGCGGTTTGCACGTGGCGGGCGCATCTCTGCCGGCCCCCGCCGAAGTTAGTTGGTAGCACTGCTGCTCCACGGCGTACATTTCCTACCAGCCCATAGGGTTTACATGTTAAATGGCCTGTTTTCGGCGAGCGATATCTCGGTCAACTTTTGATGGAATCAATGGTTCTTAGTCTCAAATGATAGATCGATGAATCTTCTTTCGACAATTCCTCTACCATTTTTCACGAAACCCAGCCGATCTTCTACGGCGTACAGGGTAAAGATTTCTCTGCACGCCAGCACCGCCGATCCGGCTCTCTGATCGACCGCGCGCGGTCCTCGGTAGCGCAGTCGGTAGCGTATCGGGCTACGGATCCGAGGGTCGTGAGTTCGAATCCTGGGCGCGCCGCGTGATTTCGGCTAGAATTGAATGATGTAGATTCTTGAATGTTTGCATAATCAATTATTAATAGCTAATTGAATGTATCTGCCCACTAACCGGCCCCTAAAACCTGTTATTTAAGAAATTTAATAAATGAATGTCACGTGCGCGTCACGACTGCCAACCATAAGCGCTACCATATTCTAGTTTGAACTAAGTTTTTGCTAGTCCCGACCACATATAGTAGGTTTTCTAGTAGTTATACTAGAAATTCCTACCAAAGTTCGTCCTACCCTTCACTCAATATACCCTGCATCTCTGCAGCATTTTGGGCCGCGGCCGGCGCCGAATAGACGGCACGCGCCTTAGGCTGTTTCTTCGCTTGCAAAACTGAGCGAAATCAGAGACGGCAGGTCACTGACCTTTGGCAATGAACACCGGCGCAGGGCACCGCCGGCCAAGAGGAGACCCCAAATTTATTCTGGCAATAACTCAGCCGCTACTGGGCCGATTGAGCTAAAACTTGAATTATTACGCTGCGCGTAATGCTGTCCCTCTAGTTACATATATAAAAATCAAAACGTCTGTACGTATGTATGTAACGCGTCAGTTCCCTTTGGCGGGCTGTTGCGAGGCGACGGTGCGGGTTGCGGGGGTGAAACTTTGGCGCCGAGTCGGGTGCGTGCAACCATTTGTCGTATTAAATTTTGGTGGGGGTGCGCTCGGTGGTTTGCACGTGGCGGGCGCATCTTTGCGGCATTTTGGGCCGCGGCCGGCGCCGATCAGAGAGCACGCGCCGTAGGCTCAGTTTCTTCGCTTGCAAAGCTGAGCAAAATCAGACCCGGGAGGTCATTGACCTTTGGCAACGAACACCGGCGCAGGGCACCGCCGGCCAAGAGGAGTCGCCAAATTTATTCTTGCGATAACTCGGCCGCTACTTGGCCGATTTTAATGAAAATTGAGTTATTACGCTGCGCGTAATGCTGTCCCTCTAGTAGTGTAATAAATAACAAGCGAAGACACTTTACCAATTTATAATGCAAACTCATGTAACAACTTTTTTCAGCTGGGAGTGGGCCATGCAGCTACTCACGCTGCAGTATGACGTAATAAAACGTCATAAAACGTCACTTCCTAAATCATTGACCGCTATCCTCAGCCTACATCATCGTCTTCCATGTCCCGTCATAATGGATTTTTTAATTGTCTTAGAAATGAAAACCCACGTTTTTTATTCCACTAAATGAAGGTAAATAATCCCAGTCTCTTACAGAATGCCTTGGTACACACAAAATCAGAGGACATCGATGTGTCACAGCCCGATAAAAGTCCTACTCGATCTAACTGCGCTCCAACATGCTGAACATCGTATTAGCATTCAGTTTATTCCGTAACGTTACTCTCGAGAAACCACTGTTTTTATTGCATGTATGGTCGCTTACTGAATGCATTGTGACAGAACCGGTATGAAAATATTCAAAAACAGAGGACATCATAACACCATCGGCTGCTAAAATGTGTAGGGTATTTTGACAACGTCTCTAAAACATAACCCATTTTGATCGGTCCTTTGATTGACATGGAATAGAGAACCCATGTTTTTTATTGCATTTAATGAAAGAAAATAATCGCATTTTCTTATAAAATGCGTGAAAATATTTAAAATCAGAGGGCATCGATGTGCCACAGCCCGATGAAAGTCCTACTCAATCTAACTGCGCTCCAACATGCTGAACATCGTATCAGCATTCAGTTTATTCCGTAACGTTACTCTCGAGAGCCCACTGTTTTTATTGCATGTATGGTCGCTTACTGAATGCAATGTGACAGAACCGGTATGAAAATATTCAAAAACAGAGGACATCATAACACCACCGGCTCCTAAGAAGTGTAGGGTATTTTGACAACGTCTCTAAAACATGACCCATTTTGATCGGTCCTTTGATTGACATAGACTCGAGAACCCATGTTTTTTATTGCATTTAACCCTCGCCCGCACATGCCATTTTCCCATCCTAGAACGCACATGGGGGGGGGGGGGTTGCCACCCCCCCCCGCGCCATTTCGTTCCTGTTGGAGATAGAGCTTAGCAGTAAAGACCAAAAAGATTCTTTGGGAAGAGACGAATCCAATGATACCCAGTTTTACCTTCTCAGGTCAGTCATTGACCTTCCAGGTCAGGTCAAACTAAAAAATGTTGCTGTTTTGGGTCACCGTTGGATATCAAGTGCGCTGCTTATCAAATACCGATGACGATGCTGTTTTCTGGTGCCAAGCCAGCTAGAACCTCTTTGTCACACTATCCGACCAGAATTTTGCTGCTGAGGTCATTTCAGGTCAAGTTAGGTCAAGAGGTCAATTATATGTGTTTGTATGTCTGTGTGTGTCTGTGTGTATACTGATGTGTGCACCGATTGCTTTTGGGTCCATATCACATGAAATCATGATCTGAGAAGCTTTTACCAAAAATGCAGTCAAAAAACTTCACAAAAAGTAAATTCAGCTTGCCTAAAACGCAATTATCTTAGATGACCTAGGTTGACCTTGACCCTGACCTTGACCCCTGTACATCGTCGAACAACATGTTCCATGATAGGTGGGAGGTAAGACTGGCAAAAAAGGCCGAAATCAGGGTGTCAAAAGCTCACAAGGCCCATGGCAAACGCAAGATGTTGAGAATTGGCCATTTGGGTCATGACATGACCTGAAAAACAAGGTCATATCTCCGAAACCAAAAATCACAGAAACTTGAAATTTTCAGTGGACATCGAGAAAGGATAGACGAGCAGCTATACGAAAAATCAGCCTTCTAGCTCTAAAAATGTTGAGTGCAGAGCAGAAAGACTGCCTGGGGGGGGGGGGGTGGCAACCACCACCCCCATGTGCGGGCGAGGGTTAATGAAAGAAAATAATCGCATTTTCTTATAAAATGCGTGAAAATATTCCAAATCAGAGGTCATCGATGTGCCACAGCCCGATGAAAGTACTACTCGATCTAACTGCGCTCCAACGTGCTGAACATCGTATCAGCATTCATTTCATTCCGTAAAGTTACTCTCGAGAACCCACTGTTTTTATTGCATGTATGGTCGCTTACTGAAGGCAATGTGACAGAACCGGTATGAAAATATTCAAAAACAGAGGACATCATAAGACCACCGGCTCCTAAAAGTGTAGGGTATTTTGACAACGTCCGTAAAACATGACGCATTTTGATCGGACCTTTGATTGACATAGACTCGAGAACCCATGTTTTTTATTGCATTTGATGAAAGAAAATAATCACATTTTCCTATAAAATGCGTGAAAATATTCAAAATCAGAGAGCATCGATGTGCCACAGCCCGACGAAAGTCCCACTCGATCTAAGTGCGCTCCAACATATTGAACATCGTATCAGCATTCAGTTTATTCCGTAACGTTACTCTCGAGAACCCACTGTTTTTATTGCACGTATGGTCGCTTACTGAATGCAATGTGACAGAACCGG